ATGAGTTTTGAAAGCACTCAAGCATATTTGTTGATTCTCTGGTTGAAGAACAACTAGAATATATTAATTTTGATAACACGAATTCTAATTTATCGAATTGATGTGTTCCATCAGGTTTATTAGAATTAATGATCCCATCTGTTTTGTTCTATATTCTAATTTCTAAATTCTAAGGGCAATAGGAAAGGTAATAGGAAAGGTAAAGTGTGTAGACAATATGGGGCGATGTTATCCATTGAAAAAAAAAATGGTTGCGAAATTTGATTATGGTGACTTGATTGATAATTTTGTACAAAAGAAAGCGAGAAGGTTGTAAGTTTTTGAATTCTAGTTTAATTATTTTTCTCATATTCATGATTTTTTTTTCGTATTTTTTATTGACGATGTTTATTATTATTTGTTTAATTAGAATAATAAAAAATATAAAAATACGATTACGGGCCTCTCTTGAAAAATTTGTCTGGGGCCTCCAAATTTCTTGAGACGGCCCTGGTGGCATGCACACATTGTTGATGTTAATATTTTCAAAAAAATACATCACTAATATGTACATGCCACATAAGCAGTAAGCATGTTAACATGTACCAGCATGGTAAGGGAGCATTACGTTTCAAAGGATACCAAGTCAAATGGAGATCAACCCCATGTTGTAAGATGTCTATCCACTTCCTACATAACCCTAACTTTATTATTTTCGAAAAGAGAGATAATAATTAATTTACTATAATTAGAATCAGTTAAGGGGCCTTGACCTTGAAGAGCAACAGGGCCAACTTCTGACCTAATAAACTCTATCCAAGATTTCAACATTGATTTATTTCTATTTTTAGACATATGTATTAAGTAATATTTATAGTTGTCAGTGCTTAAATATATGTTAACTAAATCAACTCTATCCATAATTTGAACATTAATTATATTAATTTCTTCTTAATTTTACCCGCGGTTAAATAATATTTATAATTTTTGTATTTAAGTGTGTGCGAGTGTGGGAGCTTTTGACGATGGTAAATGAACCAAAACGATATGAATCGAGCTCGAATTGTATAACCCGACAGACCTAACTCGAGTTGAATCTATCTAAAACTATTAGTGCATTATTAAAAATTAATACTCCCTCCTATTCATTATAAATGTCGTTTTGACTTTTTTGATTCATCCATTTTGTTATGTATCTAGACATTAATGTCTAGATACATAACAAAATGGATGAATCAAAAAAGTCAAAACGACATTTATAATGAACATGAGGTAGTAATTAACTAATAGGAGTCAAAGTAATAATTAATTACTTAATGCAATATAAATTAAAACTCTATTACTGCCCTTCACCTGTTAATTAAAGTCAGATAGACCTAAAACAAACCGATTTAAACAACCTTGTATTTGTACTTTTCTGCCAAACTATACAGAAAATTAAATAAGTCTGATTTTGGTTGGCTAATAACAAAGTCAAAATTTTTAATTATAACTTCCACTAGTCTCATGCTTACCTTTTTTTGTGCATGCCCCCATCTAGCCCACTTGATTTATGGTGTACAATTTTTAAATCTTACCAAGTTTAATTTATATTTTATTTTTCTCCTTCTTTTCCAACAACAATAATAATAATAATAATAACAATAATAATAATAATAATAATAATAATAATAATAAAAAATAGGATGATATTTGAATCTGTATTTTTGAACATATATTTCGACTCAAAACGCTAATTATAAAATTGTTCATCAAAGTATCATTTTCTACCGAACGATTATTTAACAAATGACTAATTGAATCTGCTAATAAAATTAATTACAATCAACTATTTGGTGCTATAAGCTTATAGCCAAATATTTTCTATATTAAAAAAAAAAATATTAAGGAGATTTAATAAGGAATGGTATATAGTCCAAAGATGGGATCATATTGATGTCCATAAAAAATGTTGAGATTTGCGACCCACATATGGATATGATTTAAATAAAGAACGAATCAATCAAACTATTTTTTGAACTTAGTGCACAAAAGCTTAAAAGGTGTATTCGTTTGGGATTTCGAGTGATATTTTGAGGCTTTTCGAGATTTGATACTTTTTAAAATTTTCAATTTTTGGGAAATTAATCATGTGAAATCTTGGTGGTATTTGAGTGGGATTTCATACAAAGTTTTTTTTTTTTTTTTTTAGAAATTCCAGCAAATCTTATAAAGTCATAACAAATCATACTCTCAATTTAGTTAAGGGAAGATTACTCATTGGATTTTGAAAAGTTTTACAAAATCTTAAAAATTTAACTTATAGTTGAAACTATGATTTGTTAAAAAAAAATTAAGATTTGTTGGAATTTCTAAAGAAAAAGAAATACTTATATGAAATCGCACTCAAAATCTAAATTTAAGATTTCACAATATTCTTCCAAAATCTGAAAATCTTAAAGAGTCCAAAATCTGAAATTTTTTTAAAATATCACTCGAAATTTCAAAGGAATACACCCTTCTAAATACCTCAGAAATCCCAAATAAATTAACCTAAACTTTTAAAATCTTAAAAAAATCTAAAGAAATACACCAAAACTCTAACATTTAAATTTTTTACAAAAATAAATCCAATTGAATAACACTATTTTTTTTTTCCACAAACAAAAAATTATCATAAAAACTCAATAAGCATAGTACAACCGACAAGTCCAATGACTACAGATACAGAAATTCTAGAAACTAGAATCCTACCACATGGATAAGACACATGGATAATAAAATGCTATGATTTTGACTTAGCAAAAATTATGGTCAACAAAAAAAAGGTAGGTTGTTATAGTTTCACGTTTCTTTTCACTAACTAAATACCTAACAAATATGCTTGATTTTTCAACCATATCCATTAATTATGGATCTTTATCAAATGGAGTACAAAATCTATAAATATATAATTTGGCAAGACAAGCATTTAATTTTATTGTGATGCATTAAATTTTATTCTCCCTCCAATTTTTTTAGCATTCAATTTCATTTTTAAGTTACAAATTAACTTGCTTGAATGCCATAAATTATGAGCATAAATCAATTAAGGGAGTTACAAAATTGATTTAGCATAAAGAAAATGGTTGTAATGGCTCTTCTATTTTATTATTTCCTATTTGTTTGAGGGTACCGTTAAAATTTCGACGCAAAATTTTTTTTTAACATGGTCTCCTATACTATGGCGATCATCAAGAGTCAAGATCAATCTCTCTCACACGTTCGCTTAGTCTTTAATGACCCTGTTTTCAGTAATAAACAATTGGACGTTGCTATTCTGAAGTTACTAATGGGAAGTGTTTGAAAATAATGATATGTGGTGATGGTGATTCTGACGATAGAAAAACCATAAATATTGTATACAAACAATATGTTTAATAAAATTTAAAATCATTTTCTTAATTCATATTTTTTCTCATGAAATGAATTATGGTTATGTATTTTTTTATATTATTATCTTTTCTAAGTATTTTTCTCCGTGCAAATGCACGGGTTGAGCACTAGAATGACTTATATTATTATCATTTCCTTCACATTATGTCACTTCCAAATTGCTTATTATAATTATTAATAAAATAATTATGATAATTATTCCCCCTAATTGGAAAATCCCCATCAGCAAAAGAATGACTTATAACAGTTGTTTATTCATATTTATTTTGCAAAAATCAATCCCAAAGATCAGACACATTATAATTCGAATTATTTATATTAATTAAAATAAATTAATACTTAGCTAAATTATGATGGCCAGATAAATTTGTTTATAATCCCAATACTAACTCCTTCAAAACATGGATGAATTTCAATATATTCTTATTTTATGGAAAAACAAAACTGGCGGTGTTTATAAATTCTTCCATGTACAAGTTCAAAAATTTCAAGGATTTAAATGGTCCCAAGTTTGTTTTTTTCTTCTTAAAAAGGAGGATCTAAACTGGTTCCCCAATTCCCCTCCGAGTGACTCGAACTCGGGACATGGTACACGCCAAGTGAGGGTACAATAGTCCCAAGTTTGTTAACCCAACTATGCTTATAGGTACTGTTTAATTTTTTGTCTTTATAAATAGCTATTACATTTTCCTTTGTTGTTTTAATTATATCAATCAATTATTTTTTTATTATTATTGTTGTTATTATTATTATTTTGAAGATATAATCGTTAGAATAGTCATGTACCAAAATGTGCAAACTACCATCTTCAAAAGGTGTTGACAAGAGATTTGTTGACGTACTCCTCCAAGGCTTCAATTTACTAATGAAGAATCATGTATTAAGTCATGGACAATTGTATGTGGCACGATCTAGAGTCATCAGTCGGAGGAGTTTGGAGATAATAATTTGTGTTGATGGAGATTGTGACGATAGAAAAACCACGAACGTTGTATATAAAGAAATATTTAATAATATTTAGATATTATTTCTTATTTTGTTTCAATGATTATGTTATTATTTTTATATTTGTTTTTTTTTACTTTATTCTCTTCTATCATATAGCTTTCCGTGCAAATGCACGGGCCAAAAACTAGTAAACTTGATAAAAGTGGTAGTACCTATTAAATTAAATCCAATGAATATGTTCATAACAATCATTAAATTAAAAGAAATAAATATCTTTACCCAAAACAATTTCGCCATTAATTAGACAATTTTATTTTATTTACTTAATTGCATATGAAATAAATCATTGAAAATATTGCATTTTATTTTGAATTTTTAAACTTTTAAACCAAACACCTCATCAGATTTCCACCAAAAGCCTAAAACAGAAAAAATGTGATAAAAAAAAAAAAAAACCCAAATCATAAATAAAAACTATTTTTTTATTTTTCTTTCGCGCACTGCAAATCGATTTCGAACTTTTTTTTTGTTCTCTGTTTTCCTTCGCCGTCGTCTTCGTCTCCAAATTACGCCGTCGACGTGTTCCGCCGGTCGCTGTTATCCGATAAGTTGATCGAGGAAGCACCTCGAAAAACCACGTGGTTTTGACTCGGTCACAAATGGCGGAACCGAGTCGAAACGGCGGCGCTTCAGCATTCTTATCGGAAACCGGGATTCCGACCGGTTTGAACCGGATAAAGACGCGGCGGGTCGACGCCAGCTCGTTGGCTGAAGATTCTGACCACTTCCATGACTCGCCCGGCGGCGAAATTCCAATCGCGGGAGCTCAAGTGAAGCCGAAGCTCAAGGCTCCGACGAAGGGAGATGTGAAATTCGGCCGCGCTAAAGAAGGTTTCATGTCGTTTTAATTCAATTTCATCGCATGGGTTTTATTAGCTGCTTAGATTACCGTTCACTTACATGCTGGCATGTTTCATTAGGAATTTTGATCCAAAGAGTTATGTGTTGGGTAATATCTGGCTGTTTTTGGCATCTCAAGAATTTCAAAGGGAAAGACAATTACTCGATTTTACATAGCTTGGATGGTTCATTGAATCAGACTGTAATTAGTTGCAATTGTTATCTGTATAGTTGAAGGAATTGTGGTTATAATAATCTGAAACGTCAGACACTGGGGTGGGGAAGCTGGTGCGTGAGTTACTATATGCTAATAGAAATAAAAGTTGGTCTGATGGGCTCTCACGTTGGCAGTTGTTGGTATTTGCAGGTAAAATATGCCCTTCTTGAGTTTTAAGCACTTCAAGAAGCCACTGTTTGTTCTTGAAAAAAAAATAAAAAAATTATATTTGGTACTGAGGTACCGATAGTAGAGTTATAATAATAAAGTGATTCGACAAAACGAAAATCTGGATTTTCTTGTTCTTTTTTCTTTTCCCTTTTTTTCTTGGAGGGGTTGATTTTATGTATTTAAGATTGTGATATGGTTAGATATTGGTGGTGAAGGTAATAAGTTTTTCTATACTGTCAGTTGACAGCAGTAAAATGATCTTAGTGTTTGATTGATCTGGGAATGTATCTTGGTGTTCATGTTTTAAACCCTTGCTACTCTCCACTCACTCAGGAGTCATGCTCGGCCTCACAAAAAATTAAGTAAATAAATAAATAAATGTAGATGAGATTGTTTCTCTTGCTGTGAACCTCTTCTCCTTCTCAATGTTTTGTTTTTCACCCTTGTAGCAAGATACATGCTTAAACAAATGTCTTCTTTTTGGATTCACATTAATGAGGCTTGATCACATTAGACAGTTTTTTTATTATGTCTCAAATGCACTGAAGCTCTGGAATCATATTCAAGATTATAAGTTTTTGGAACCGCCGACTGTTGGGGAGACTTTAAATGAGAAGATAATATCAAGAGGGTCAATCGGTGCAGATATGCACCGTGACATCACTCACTCCCCCATCACAATGTACATGCATTTACGCACTCACAAACACATGGAGGCACACATATATTTTTGTGCCCACATCTTTTTATTTTTTCATAGACTCATTTATTACAAGGAAAAAGATACAAATTTACCAAAATATGTTATGATGCAGGATTTCGCAAAGCGAGGAAGATAGCACGGTGGTTTACATCTTCTTCTTTTAAGGATTCTGATCAAGATTTACGTAATTACCCAAGCACCAAGGTCAGACGTCTTTTTTGTTTCATATAATTTTTTAGTGTCACAATGTTCTTGTTCTTTACAGTGGTAGCTGATATTATTTTTGCAACTAATTTAACAGCCTACTGCTTTGGAGTGTAACCGCCGTGAAAAGGATTTTCGAAGAAAAGTTCGCAAGATGCGGAAGAATTTAACTGGGGATCCACCAAAAGTCATACCTGCTTATAAGGTCTCCAAATATATAAAAAGTTTTTCACACGAATTGGGTCCGAAGGGTGGCATTCAACCTACCCATCCAAGGGCGCACAGCTTTAATGATTTGAAGGTATGCACTATGCAGTAAGATTTATTACACTTGAAGTTTGACGTTTAAGGGATTTTGAGATAGTGAAAGTTATTACCATCTTATTAAACAATGATTTTTATTTTTGGTTGGTGTTTCAATTATTGAGTTTTTTTAATATTTTTAACTCTTCTCAGACCAACTTTTACTTCTTCCTTATCCTTCCCCAAAATCAGTGTGATATTAGTAATTTTTTAGTTGTTATTTTTCATGTATTTGATATCACTAGTATTGACTTTCTTGTAATATGGCATTTAGGAGCTCATGGGATCACTACGTTCGAGATTTGATGCTGCAAAAGAAGTTGTAGACATAGAACTTCGTTGTTTTTCACAGGAGATACTGGACGTTCTGCAGAAAGATGATACCCTGAGACCAGATATATGTATAATGGCAGAGGAACTTTTACTTCTTGTCCAGCAATGTATTTCCATGTCTTCCTTAGACTTCAAAATAAAATGTGAAACAATTGTCCAGGACTTGACTGTAAAGAGACAGAAATGTGAAGCAGGATTGTTGAAAGTATTACTCACACGCATGCTTTTCATTTTGACTCGATGTACAAGATTGCTGCATTTTGAGAAGGATAATGGCCGTGTGAATGAGCAGTCACTGGACAAATTCAGAGAATGTTTGAAAAGGATTCCCTCAGTTGACAGGAATTGGGTTGTGAATAAGGGCTTTGCAGATTCTGACGTAGGTTTTGTCATAGAACAAGGTAATGCCAAGGAACAATTTCAAGGAAAAAATCATACGGGTGTTCCTTTCCAGGCGAATGAGAGCAGGTTCAAGGAGCCTGCCGAGAAGCAGGAAGAAGAAATCAGAAAGAATCAGATGTCTATTGAACAAAAAAGATCTCAAAATGCATTCACTGATGTTTCATATCCTGAGCCATCTGATAGAACTGATGACATGCTTCAGATGGAATCCGCAAATAGAAAGAAAGAGAACTATTCAGATGATTCAAATTTAGTTATTTGCCGGATTTGTGAAGAATTCGTTCCTGCTGTTCACTTGGAGCCACATTCCTATATATGTGCGTTTGCAGACAAATGGGTTTCCAACCATCTGGATGTGAATGATCGCCTCTTGAAGCTTTCGGAGTTATTGGAGCACTTGTTGGAGTTGCGGAATTCAGGGAATCATGAAACCTACATGAACCCTGAGATTTTGAGAACACGACCCAGTAACTCTACCCTGACAGCAGAAACTCACTCACCAAAGAGCAATGAGTGGCGAAGTAAGGGGATGGATGGAATGTTGGAGTATCTACATGAGATGGACACTGCCTGCATTGACGACTCTCATCTTGCAAACTTGGTGAGCTTGAAGAGCCACTTGCTGAACAAGGTAAATCAATATGGTTCGCCATCCTCGAATGGGAGCATGACGTCCACATCATCCACAAATAGCCCTCGGGGAAATATCGACATCTTTTGGTTGGACCAAAGTAATTTGTCGGAACAAGAAGACATGCAGCAGGTCTGTCTTCCTTGCCCTTGGTACTGTTATGTTTGAAGAGTAAGGGGCATAATAGATTCTAGATAAGCGGTTATGGTTGAAACAACCAGGCTATCCTATGATATGATGTCACATAAATAAGGTGAAGTGTGGAATTTTCTATTGAATAACTGCAATACGTAATACCATATATTTAATATGCTTGACGTGGAAGATGATGGAAAATGGATGTAAAATAGAGATTTTGAGTTGATCGTGAACCTAAATTTAATCTTATGACTGAGTAATCGAACCATATTTAGCATCATCTACATTAACGTAGGATTCGTTCTGTGGTAGCATATTGTGGGAGTATACTGGACAGTTAAGCTATGAAGTGAGTCTTTTGGCGACTCAGGCTCACCATGGGCCCACAATGTGACGATTCATTTTATCTTCATGACCTTTGAGGCGCTCTTTTTTGAACTGCAATAAACTGGAAAACAAATTCTAACAGTGGGATTCTCATCCAATAAAACTTGTCCTACCTTGACTTTTAAAAAGTTAATTTCCAAATACAGTAATGGAACTTCAGGTATTGGGCTCCAGTGGTTTTCATACTTCATGAAGGGCCTGTCGGTGGCTTTGTGGTACGATTAGCATGTGATGATCTTTCCTTTTTTATGCGTTACAGCATCCAGTTACCTACCATGTTTCATTTGTGCATTTCTACCGTTTTTTTTT